GATCAGTAAGTAGATCAATGGAATACACAGACTAAACTTAAATCCAAGCACATACAAATATAAACTTCACATATGATGGGGTTAGTATTAAAGATCAGTCAGCAAGGAATCCAAATAAAGACAGCTGAGGTAACTGGTTTAAAGAAAACATAAAATTTGATTTCCACCTCATACCATATTTATAAATAAATTCCAGAGGACTTAAAATCCTAAAAGTGAAAAGCAAAATGTTAACATTATCCGTAAGGAGCTATTAGCCCAGCTATCCCATATTAGTAATTGATTATAAAGAAATCATTGGAAAGGGACCAGAAGTTAGTGTAATGGCTATGTCGCTGGACTCCCACGTAGTCGACCGTGGTTCAAGTCCCAGACCCAGTGGCTTAAACTCACACCAGGCGTGTGTGCGTGCGTGCCCAGGATCCCGAGAGGAGAATGGAGGAGAAGGGATTGTGGTGTGGCCATCCCCCCTGGGGGGTGATTTCTCGCTTTCTATCTCTCTGTCTCTCTCTGTCTGTCTGGCGAGTGCACGCGCCCTATAGCAAAAACCTCTACAAAAAAGGAAAATAAAAAGAAATCATTGGAAAAAGGCAAAAAAAAATATATGTACAAGAATATATGATCAGGTCTTTCTATTACTGTATTATTTATAACAGAAAAAATTAAAAATCTAAATGCAAAAAAACAAGAATTAGTTAAATAAGCTGTATTGTATATGCAGCAAATAAAAATGATGTGTAGATCTATATTACTGATATAAAATATAATCTTATAAAAAGTAGATTAGATGTAGGTATGGCAATTAAGACTGTAGTATTGGTGGATACCAGTTTGGCAGTTTGGATACCAATGGAATCTGTTCAGTGAATTAGAACATACAATCCAGAAATATACCCACATGATTTTTTGACAGAGGTGCAAAAGCAATTCAATGGAGGAAAGATGATCTTCTCAATAAATGGAGCTCATAAAAAATTCAATAAATTGAATTTAATCAAAATTGAAAAACATTTGCACTGTGAAAGAATGTTGAGAGGATGAAAAACAAGTTATAGATAGGAAGAAAGTATTTGTTAAACACATAATAAAGGACTAAAATATAGAAGACAGAAAGAACTCTAAAACTCAACAGTTAAACAAAACAAAATATGGAAGCCAGCAGTTACATCACTGGACTCCCACATGGCTGACCATGGTTCAAGTCCTGGACTTTGTGTCTTGAAAAGCACGCCAGGTATGTATGCATGTGTGCCCAAGATCCTGAGAGGAGAATGAAAGAGAAGGGAATACACCATGGCCATCCTTCAGAGGGTGATTTCTCACTTTCCCTCTCGCTGTCTCTCCAGCGAGTGCATGTGCCCTAAGGAAAAAAATCTCTTAAAAAACAAACAAACAAACAAACAAACAACAACAACAAAAAACTCAAAAAATCCTCTAATTAGAAAATGGGCCAAAGTCATGAAAAAAACATTTCACCAAAGATGACTTTCAGGTAGTAAATAAGTTCATGAAAAGATGTTGAACATCATTAGCCCCCAGAGAATTGCAAATGAAACCTGCAATGAGATATCATCACACATTTATCAGAATGGTTAAAAATATAAAAGTGATAATTCCAAATTCTGGCAAGGATGGAGAGAACTTGGAATAGTTATACATGGCTAGAGAGAATGTAAAATGGTACATTCACTCTGGAAAACAGTTTGGGAGTTTCTCAAATTAAACAAACAAACATGCAACTACCACACAATCCAGCAATTGTGCTCCTGGGTATTTACTGCAGAGTAATCAAGACTGAGGTTCACACAAAAGCCTGTAAATGAATGTTTGTAGCAGCCTCATTTATAATAGCCCCCAAACTGGAAACAACACTGATTTCCTTCAATGCTTGAAGCACTGTGGTACATTCATACTGTGGAATATTATTCAGCAACAAAAAGGAAGGAACTTCTGATATACATGACCTGCGTGAACCTCCAGAAAATCATGCCAAGTGAGAAGAGCCAATTCTAAAATGTTATGTACTGCATGATTCCATTTATATAATATTTTTGAAATGACAAAACTATAGACATAGAGAACAGAGTAATAACTGCCAGAAGTTAAGACTGGGAAAAGGGTAGGTGGAAAGATGATGTAGCTATAAAAGAGCAACAAGAGATATCCCTGGTGGAGCTGAAAATGCTCCAAATCAATGTCAGCATCATGGTCATAGCACTGTCCTTGAGCTTTGCAAGATGTTACCAGCGGGGCAGCTTGGTAAAGGGCATTTGGGCTCTGTCTGCACTATTTATTACAACTGTGTGTGTGAATACACAATTATTCCCAAATGAAAGAATGCATATAAGATGATCCCACACTTATAAAATCTAGGCATCAATAGACAATATTAATACTGCATAGTAATAGGAAAGTATCTGGAAATCTATATAAGAATATTAGTGACTGTCTATACAGTTGAGATATGTGATTTTTAAAAATTTCTTCTTTATATATTTATGTATTATAAAAGTTGTTTTCAACAAGCATGCTCTACTATAATATTTTTTAAAAAGAAGTTATTTCCACTATAAGAAAGAAGCAATAAATGCTATTGTACGTAATGTTTTTCACTGAATATTTTACCATATCGATTCTTTAAAACATCATTTTAAAAGCTACTTAACAGTCCATCACATTGATCTATCAATTTTATCATGTCCCTAGGAAGAAGACTGAAAGGATTATTTCCACTTTCTCATAGTTAAAGCAGTGCAAGAGATCTCCTTCTATCTTAACCTTTACATGCATCTCTGATTATGTCCTAAAGTTAGAACTTTAGCCATTGAGTTACTGGTTCACAAAGTTTGGGAAACTGGAACACGCTGAACAACTGCTTTCCTGAAAAGCTATAAATGTATGTCTCCATCATTAGTGTATGTGTGTGAGATCACTTCCCTTACCCCTGAGAAGTTGCCACAATTGTGTTCACATTACAAAATCCATAGATTAAGGAGGGAAGGAAAACACACATGCTAACCTTGTATGGTGACAACGAGGCGTAACAAACCTGCCTTCTTACCAGTCTTTTGCTTTGCCTAACATGCACGAGTCTTGCTTTGTTTCCCTTCGTCTCAGGCTAGTTCCAATTTCGTAGCCAGACACCTAAAACCCACTTGTGTCTGCCTTGTGCACTTGCCTCCAGTCACTCTCACACACCAGACCCAGTGGCCCTGCCCAAATGCTCTAGCCTGGACACCCCCAGGGTTGACTCTCTATTGACTCACCTCTTTATGCAAATATCTACAGGAGTGGTTTTCCTATCCTACTCTATGTAAATCCACCACCCCTTTCTCCAGCTTCATTTTTTATATTTATTGCTCTTTCTCCAATGATACACTGTTTAAGTTTTTAACTATTTCCCTTATTCTGAAACTTTGAAAACCCAAACCCTATCCTCCAAGGTATTGGCATCCCAAATCCCCATATACTGTTTTGTCTCCCTATCATTCTAAGAACAAATGTCAACTCCAGCACAACTCATTTCTAAATCCTCCTCCGTACAATCCCTTATATCGATGGTCTTTCTGCATCCTGGCCTCCACCCCTGCAAATATCTGCAACTGAGGACCCCCGCACTGACGAGCCCTATTGACTCTGCCCACTCTTCAACAACCAAGATAAATGTCCCCCCCCACCCCCCGTCCTTCTCTTCACCACCTTGACAACATCCAGTCTCTATCCAGTCTACATTAGCCAAATCAACAGAGAGTAACATGAATATAATAAGCTAATTCACACTAGAGTGTGTTTAACTCAGAAAGTTCCTGAGGGACCAGCCCGTGGCATGGTGGGGCAGCGGCTGGATCCCACATGGCTGATTATTCTGCAGTTTGAGACCTGGACCCAGTGGCTTCAAAAACAAGCTGAGTGCATGCCCCAAATCCTGCAAGGATGGAAAAATGTACAAGAAAGGACTGCAGCAAGACCATCCCCCATGATATGTGCTTTCTCTACAACCCCCAGCTGTCTCTGGTGAGCGCATGCACTCTCTGACAAATTAAAATAAATAAATAAATAAAGGAACTAGAGCCAAACAAAACAAAATGCTAACTGACAGAAAAGCAAATTCTGAGAGTTTCTAGTTAGAAACCTCTAAAAAGGAAGATGTAAAATGTATGGTGTATCTTCTTAAAACACTTCCATTCCATTTCTTTTAAGTTTTGTCTTCATTTTGATTTTGTCAGTCTTTCCACCTGGAAAGTCTTATTCTAGTTTAACATTATCCAAAAGTACTTCCCTTCTGATTTTCATTCCATTCAGCACTGACCTCTTCCCTCTGAACAGGGAAGAACAGCAAAGGAGGCCTCCTTCTGACATCTCTCCTCTCTAAGCAAGCATTTTTCTGCTTCAGTGAATCTCCAATTCATATTGAACTTAAGCAAAGTATGCTTCTTTTCTCCTTCAAAATGTAGTTGAAAGCCCCCTTTTCCTTTCCATGTATTACAACCAAAGATTATACCCCATAGGCATTACGCATCAGATGCAAACAATCAGTCCTATGAAAAATGCTTGCTTTAAAATGTCATTTAACAATTAAGTTATTTTCAGAAGAAACTACTTTGAGGAAAAATAAAAAATAAGTAGCCTTTAAAAAAGCCACTGTATTGTATCCAGTGTCCTTTATCATTAGGGTAGGTACTAGAAGGGTGGTTTATTTGCTTTGATCATACTTAGAGCTACTGCATGGTTGCAGTGGACTACAGATATATTTTTAATTTTAAATTTCATTTTTCTTTGAAATCTGAAATAAATTATGGCTAACAACTGAAATTTTATTTTAAAGAATAAATACAACATCCTGTGCTATTTCAATGATAGAATGAATGACTTTAAAAATAAACAGTGATATTTCTGTGCATTCTACATCAAAGCTCCCTGAGATATACCCAACCGCATGCTACCAGAGGGTATGCGAGATGTCCCCAAAGAATTAAAATCTAACATAAAAGAATACTCACCAGACTTCCTTGCTTTCAAAGCAATAACAGCTGCTAGCTCTCTCTGCACCTAATAAAATAATAGGGAAAAAATATAAATCATATTAGAAGAAAAAAACTATCAAAATCAGTACTTTGTTTTCAGATATGCAAACTAAACTAAGAGCTATTGCAATTATAGCTAGGTTTGTTGCCATGATTTTTAAAAAATTTTTGTTTGTTTTTAGTACACAGGAAAAAAGCTCTGCGTAGGAATTTTAGGTCAAAAAGTGGAGGAACGTATTGACATAACTTTTTTTTTTTTCCTTTAACTCTGCAGAGGGTTTGCGCCCTTGCTAGATAGAAACAGAAGTGAACAAGCACCCGCACAGGAATGGTCATGCTATAACCCCTTCTCTTCCATGTCTCCATTCTATTGGAATTTTGGGCAGACATGCATATGTACCCAGTGTGTTTTCCAAGCCACCAGATCTGAGACTCCAACTATGCAATCAGGATTCACCTTCCTAAACTGCCAAGCCATGGGCTGGCCCACTGACTTATTTTGTAAAAAGTTATACAGCTGCTAGAAAATATACAAAAATATGGTATGTATGCCATTGTGTTAGAAAGTACCTCAAAAATATAACTATGTAACATTCAGAAATGCTGCAAGTATGAATTAAATTATCAAAATATACATGAGACCATGACAAGGCTATTAAATATTATTTTTCACTCAGAGATGCTAATTTATACAGAAATACTAGAAAAACTGAGATAGTTGATCTTGGTTTAATTGGATCTCTGCTCAAATACAATGAATGTTCATTGTAAGCATGACAGATTTACAGCAACCCTTCTGAATAAAATGCCACATAAAAGCAAGTGTTTATGTGGTGATATTTCTACCAGTTTTGTTGTTCTTGCTCAATGTAGAAGATGAAATGTCTATATATTACAGCTGTATGCATGCTTTGAAAAAGGATACAATACCCTACTAAGATGTACAATGATTATATGAAAACCGGAAATCACACATGCAAACAAAAGCAAGTGTCATCAACTCACAGGGAAGATGAAATGGGAATAGACAAGATAACCTTTAAAAACCCATGTCTTAAACTCCATTTATTTGTCCAAATTTTTTTAGCACTTATGTGTCCTCTTCCCCTCCCCACTTTGAATGTTAAATACCTCCTTAAAAACATTCTCAACGAGGAACATAAAACAGATACAAAAAAGAGAAGCACAGTTACATTTGCAGATAGTATGAGGATAATCTTTGGGAAATCTGTTTAACAGAAATAAAAATTCCATAATGAGCAAGCACATTCCCCTCTCTTTAGGACACGATCTCTGAAGAGTGTGTGTGTTCATATTTGGAGGTGACAGTGGGGAGTCTGGGAGGGACATGCAGCTGAATATATTACAGTAATGACACTTTAAAGGGGGACATGGGAGTTCAAGGTTACACTGCAGACCTGCTATTCGAATTAACTTAATTTATATTCATTTATTGGAAGGTGAAAGGAGCACTGAGCTAGACCTTGAGCCTCCACCTAGGCCGGCCTTCCCAATAGCTAGGGCATTGTTACTCCTCAAGGAGGCTGCTTGCCCCTGCTGTTTTTACTGCTGTGCTTTCCCTGTCTGACTAGTAAGGATGCCATTCAAGAGTGCATACTCTTGATTTAGCTGATTCTCTGACACCTTAAAACTCTCTCAGGAAAATTATACAGTAATGAGAAGATCATCAGTCCCTCTCACTCCCTGTGTTTGAGCTCTAAAAATGCTCGGGGCTAAAATGTTTTACAATTAAAAAACTTAGGGGGAAAATAGAACCAGAAGAGACAGAAGTGATGAGTATCTAGAAGAAAACTGCTATAAATACTTGTATGTGTATGCAAATAATTAAAAAGGAACAAAATGAAACAACAATTACTGAACATTTTATGTGTTTTCAGTTGTTTGTAAGGTTTGCTTTATAATTATCAAGTCTCACTAGGTTTTTCCTCCCTTACAGTGTCACAGATATTAGGAAGTGGGACAGAGATGCAGGCTACAAAGACTTACTGGGATCTTGTCAATGGATTCCTGATTTTGCAGTCTCTAAGGAAAGACCTCACTGGAACTCCAAGATGATGAAAGCAGAGATGGGAAATGATGCATGAAGTGCATCTTTAATTTGCTCACAAAGGATCAAAATAGAGTCACCTCTATCTTCCTCTTTAAGTTTTTCCTATAGAAATTCCCTTTATAAGATCCTCAACTTTTCTTTCACCAGTTAGATTTAAGGTTCAAAATATAAATAGCTCAGGGGAAAAAATGTATTATTCCCAACACTATATAATACTACATCCTTTCAAAGATTTAGTAGG